CCACCCTCCCTGTATCGTCACTCTGGCCACTGGTCCTGAAGGGATCATCCGCCCTTGATTCCCTGTGTTTCCAGTTCCTATCTGTACCAGTGTACATCCTCTGGTCTAGCTGGATTTGTAAGGTAGATTTGGGATCATGATGGTGGTGGGGAGGAAGTATTTAGGAACTAGAGGAAGGTTGTATGTTTCATCTTTGCTACACTGCACCCTGATCGGCTCATCTCCTCCCCCAGGACTCTTCCATAAGGGGTTGTCCAAGTTCTTACAGATGGGCTTTGGGTCTCCACACAGCACTCCCCCACATTCACAAGGATATGATTTTTTGTTCTGTTGATGCCTGATGCCTGATCCCTTAGACACCTGGTGATCACGCAGACTGGAGTGCTTCTTCCATGTGGGCTTTGTTGCTTCTGAGATAGATGGCTGCTTGTTTACCTGCAAGCCTTTAAGACCCCAGATGCTATATCTTTTGATAGCTGGGCACCCTCAGCTTTCTTCACCACATTTGCTTATGCACCCATTTGTCTTGCACGATCATATAGGGAAGGTGAGCACACAATGACATGATGTTTTGTTCTTTGATGCCTGAAAACTGATCCCTTCAGCACCTCGTGATCACACAGGCTGGTGTGCTTCTCCCATGTGGGCTTTGTTGCGTCTGAGATAGATGTCCGCTTGTTTAACTTCAAGTCTTTAAGATCCCAGACGCTATATCTTTGGATAGCAGGGCACCATCAGCTTTCTTCACCACATTTTCTTATTCACCCGCTTTTTCTTCAGCGATTGTTTCGGGAAGGTAAGCATCATGAAATGCCAGTTTAATAGAACAAAGTATTCTTCCATTCAAGGAGTACTATTTCCAAATTTTGATGAACTTGTATGAATATATTCTTTTTGGGTTTATCATATATTTCAATATGATATTGTAGTGCCTAATCGGTGGAGAGACAAATGTTATCATTTTAATTTATTAAATGAAAATATATGCTAGAATATAAGTGTGACTGAGTTTGTGAATTAGTAATTCAATTATGTTCTATGTTAAGGATTGCATGTCTAATTCGGCTTTCCACAGAGACTCATATCCAGGAAGAGTCTAGAGTTTGCCACTGGCTCTTTTTAGGAGGTTAAAAGAAAAGTTGATACATTTTATCTAAGAATTATGTTCTTTATTTGAAAATTTAGATTAATTATCTTTTTTCTTTTCCAACAGAGGTTAAAAAAAAGGATTTATTAAATGGAAATAATTCCACAGGCAGTATTTTTTAATGTTTTACATCTGTAGCCTGAAAGACCACCTTTAAGCCACCTAAAATATATCTGATTGACTTGGGCTATTCATTAAGTGAAATGACTGATTTAGTACTAATTATCCTTCTGGGGCATCGAAGAAAGTCA